ACCTTATATCAGCCAAAAAGTCTTTTTGATCTCGTTTTGAGACTGATTTACTAAACAAGAACTGATTGAAAAATTTCTGCCAATGGAGTAAGAAAATTTTACTTGGTAAGATTCTTGAAATAAGAAAAAATTGAGTCAAATCAAGTATTTCAAGAATCTTACCAAGTAAAATTTTCTTACTCCATTGGCAGAAATTTTTCAATCAGTTCTTGTTTAGTAAATCAGTCTCAAAACGAGATCAAAAAGACTTTTTGGCTGATATAAGGTTTTAAAACTTGGTTCGATGGACAGTTTTTGATTCAGGGCATGAGGCTGATGAGTAATATCTTGGAGAAATATGTCATAACACTATCTGTCGCACTCTGAAACAAATACTATAAAACTGATTCAGTGGCTACAGGAAAGATGACTTACTATGAAAAATGTATCTTTTCAGTTTTTCTTGCTGCTTTTTTATTTATTTTTTAATGAGTGGGGTTCGTACACTAATGCTGCTGTGATGTCCCCAGGGATGCCAAGGCCTGCGTCGTCCACGGCGGTGAGCTGAAAGAGATGACCACAGAACAGCTGGACGACATCCTGAAGCACCACAATGAAATCGTTTTCGCCAGAACGTCCCCTCAGCAGAAGCTGATCATTGTGGAGGGCTGTCAGCGGCAGGTGAGCGTCAGCACACTGAGGACTTCAGGACTGGAGGGGTGGGGTTGTCCTGACTCTACTCTTCTTCCTCTGCAGGGAGCCATCGTGGCCGTCACAGGTGACGGTGTGAACGACTCCCCGGCTCTGAAGAAAGCTGACATCGGCGTCGCCATGGGAATCGCTGGGTCCGACGTGTCCAAGCAGGCTGCCGACATGATCCTGCTGGACGACAACTTTGCCTCCATCGTTACTGGAGTGGAAGAAGGTAAAAAGAAGAATATGAAAACTCACATTAGCTGCGTTTCCATTGACCATGAAAATGCGCAAATTAGAATTTTGAAAATAAATTTGCTCAATGGAAACACGTCAATTTCGAAAAAAAAAAGGTTTTTCGACAAAATGGTTTTGGAAGAGGTGGTTTGTCGGCCGAATCGAAATTGGTGTTTTTCGCAAAACTGCAATGGAAACGTCTTTTTTGCCAGTAGAAACAGCTGGTTGTTGATCACATGACTCTCGTGATCAACAACCAGCTGTTTCTACTGGTGAAAAAAGACGATGATGAAGAAGATAACAGGAAGTAGTAGTAATATCACAGAAGTAGTAAAAGAAAGTAGTAAACTCACCGACTATAATTTCCCAAAAACAGCATACGTAGCCGCTCCCAAGTAGGGGCTTGTCGCTGGAAAGCCTCGATAAAAGACGCCGACGTCTCCTGTGATGATGAGCGCTAGTGTCGTGGTAGCAACATGCTATGTGTTTGCATCCATTGCCGCCATGTTTGTAATGACTTATCATGAGAACAAACATTCACGCGTGACTTTAAAAGCATTTCTTACTTAATGGAAACACCGCAGTTGAGAAACTGTGTTTTTTTGACATTAACAGAATATCAACAAAGTTTTGAGCACATTTGCAATGGAAACGCAGCTATTGCACCTTCTTCCCACTGTTTGATTTACACCAGTAAATATTAATTGCTGCATGTTTTTGTCAGGCCGTCTGATCTTCGACAACTTGAAGAAGTCCATCGCCTACACTCTGACCAGCAACATCCCTGAAATCTCACCCTTCCTGCTCTTCATTATCGCCAACATCCCTCTGCCTCTGGGAACTGTCACCATCCTCTGTATCGATCTGGGAACTGACATGGTGAGCTCTTAACTTCTTTGACTCAAATACACCATTGATTGAATGAAACCTAAAATCCAAACTAGTTTGAAGGAACGATGTACTTCAGTGCAAGGAATAAAACTGTGGAATAATCTGGAGAATGGTATTAAAAGTGTAGGATCAATGAATAAGTTTAGGTTGAATGGTAAAATCCAGTCTGTTGAGGAAATATGAAATGACATATGTATTCTTAAAAATTGTCTGAGAAAGATTTTATTTTTTTAAATAATTTTTTTCTGTTTTTTATTATTGTTTGAATTTCTTTTGATGGAAAAAGGCGCAGATATTACAAGATTTTTTCTTCCTTCTGCCGCCTTTCATTTTATTTTTCACTTGTATTTTTTCTTATACTGAAATTGCTTTGTTTTTAATGAATGAATAAACTAAACTAAACTAAAACTAAAATCCAGTCATTTGACTTATTCTTTCTATTAATTTCCTCCAGGTTCCTGCCATCTCCCTGGCTTATGAAGCAGCTGAGAGCGACATCATGAAGAGACAGCCCCGAAACCCCCTAACTGACAAACTGGTGAACGAGAGGCTCATCAGCATGGCCTATGGACAAATTGGTAACTAGTTGGAACATTGAGTAAAATGATTTATAAATCTCATAAACCACATTTTTTGTTCACAGTGGAACATAGTGAACATATAAAATGTTTTAAACTTACAAACTGTTCCTAAAGGAAAGGGCCACCGCATTTAAAACAGATATGACTTTGTGACTTTGGTAAAAAAATATTGCAATGATTAGCTAATGTCAAAGTATAATAAAAACCATACGTATGTACCCCTTGAAAGAAATGTCTAAAATATGTCCTAAACAAGGTTTTGACCAGTTTTCTGAGCAGTTCAAACAACTAACCATCGTTTTGAGTAGAAAAGGCCAAAGTTTTTGCTACTTTCCCTGCCGTCTAGTTAAACAACTTTCATCATCAAATGGGAAATCCCAAAATTCAAATCTTATTTAAGATTTCCTTTTCCAAATGAAGTCAATAAACCCACATTTCATTGTGACAAAAATAGGATTTAGACCAGGGGTGTTAAACTCATTTTCACCGAGGGTCACATGAGCGTTATGGTTGTAATGAACTTTGATGTTTCATGTTAACTTTGACTAAACTGTTTTAACACGTCCTCTTTTAAACACTGAAAAGAACTAAGTGTACGATTGACTAAATCTGAAATAAATACAGAAATATTATTAAAAGTAAAACTAATAAAGTTTTACTCACTGATGAGTTTCTAGTGAGGAGCTGCATTATGTCAGATTTAGTTTATGCTTGATGGTGACTTTAAAGCAACTTATTTTCAGACATTAAAACTGTGCTATCCAACTAAACTGCTCTGTTACTTCAAGCCAACAGCTCAGGGGCAGGACCGTTGTTATTATCTTTCACATGTTAAATTTATTTTGTTGCATTTAATCATTTAATCATAAATTTAAAGTTGGCCATTGATATAAGAAACAATTTTCATGTTAAGTAAAAAAAAAACAACTTTTTTTTTGCATTTAATCATGAATTTAAAGTTTACCATTGATATAAGAAACAATTAAGTAAAAAAAAACTTTTTTGTGTGTGTGTGCGGGGGTCACACAGGAGTCAATGTGGCCCGCGGGCCTTGTGATTGACACGTGATTTAGACTATGACCCTTCAACTGGTGGCCAGCAGGCCACATCCTGCTTTCAGATGACTTCTGTCAGAGAGTAACGTTTTTTTAATACTTCATCTAATATAAAAATAGATTTTAAATCATTTGTAGATTTTAAATATATATGATTCAGTTCAACAAAATACATTTAAAAGATAAAAGATAATACTTGTTCTTTTACATAATGCAGTGTCTCCCCAACCATTATAGGTCAAACTCCCCCGAATTTACAGCTCCTGAGCTGTTGGCCTTGAGTACTTGTGGCCCCCTGAGATATTTATTTGAATAATCCTGCTTTAGACAGAATGTTTTATATAATTTGTCCTGATTACAAAGACATATCAAGCCAAACAGTATCTGTGGAATCTAGGTATCAAAATGTAGCTTAAAAAACAAGAATCTGAAAAATGTGTTCAGTTTATTTTTGGCTAAATGGGACCTAACCCTCAGTTTGATGTGAAAGACGTGCCACCTTCTTCTTTTAGCCAAAACTCCTTTAGGCAAAGTGGAAAACTGAATCGATGCCACCTCCTTCAAACAAAGGATAGCCTGTCATCAGAGTGTACTTCTGATAGTACGAGGTTATAATAGTGCCTCTGGCATGGGCAGGCTACACATCTGGAAAGGCACCACTGAAGCAGAAAAGTGTACATAGGTTTTAGAACGACGTATGCTCCTATCCAAACGAGGCCTTTTCAGAACAAACCTTGCATCATTCAGCAAGACCACATATTGCATCCATTACATCAGCATCTCACAGTGAAAGTGTTTGAGTGAGGAACTGACCTGTTTACCATGTCCTTTTGTGAAAGAATGTGTGTTCGTGAGATTCACAAAGTATTGTGTTCAATTTGTATTGATATTTTACATATTGTCCAAACTTCTTCAATGATTGAAAAAAATTCATGAACTCATCAGGCATAACTGTGTTTTTACGATTGGTTTGCAGAGACGGGCCCAGTTGGCTCGTCGTATTTAGGAAGCACAGCGCCGTGCCTTTAAGTTTGGCTTTTATTTTCCTCTCATCAGGCATGATGCAGGCCACAGCTGGCTTCTTCTCATACTTTGTGATCTTGGCTGAAAACGGATTCCTCCCCTTGGACCTGATCGGAATCAGAGTCTTTTGGGACGACAAATCTGTCAACGACCTGGAAGACAGCTACGGACAGCAGTGGGTCAGTCTCACTTCTCTTTTCTCTAGTATGGTTCAGGTTTCTGTGGCGGAAAATGATCTCACTGTTGTCTTGTGTACGCCAGACATACGAGCGAAGAAAGATCGTAGAGTTCACCTGCCACACAGCCTTCTTCACCAGTATTGTGATCGTGCAGTGGGCCGATCTGATCATCTGTAAAACCAGGAGGAACTCCATTGTGCAGCAGGGACTATTCAGGTTTGTAGCAGCTTTGAACCAGGGAGCAGACAAAAACTAAAAAAAATAAATAAATAGATTTATTACAAAATAAAGAGGGCTGACGGGAGAAGCATAAAACACTCTTACCGGCAAAAACAGAGACAAACCAGGACTGACTGTAAAGAGTACAGTGGACCGACAGGGAGGACAATATATGGAGAGCTAACGAAGAAAAAACAGACACACCTGGGGAGAGACAACAAAGATCAGGTGTGGGAGGAGCAGGGGAAAGACACTGATGTGAACAAATCTGATACGAGGAGTAAAAAAACACTATAAACAAAGAACAGAAAGAAAAGAGTAAAATAACAAAAGCAAGTTTTGGCAGCTGAGGAATTTCCTAAATTGTCAGAGCTGTCAATGGAAAACCAGTGATTTTTACCAGGGATGTCCCGATACCACTTTTTCACTTCCGATACGATACCGATATTACAACTTTGAGAATTGTCCGATACCGATATTGACCCGTTACCATAACAGTACAAGTCACACACTTTTACCTATTTTGTAATGTAAAATCTTAGAAAAGTCTTGATCAGGTCAAACAGTGAAAAAGAGTAGGTATGAGAAAAACGGACCCATTTATTTTTAACCAATGGATCACATACATTTTAAACTTAAGAACATAATACAATTTGATATAATAAATTATAATACCCTGAAAAATCAAAAAAAAAACAAAATGTTCTTTAAAGTATAAAATAACAATTCAAAATCACTTTGGTTATTGTTTTACTACCTGTCAGCCTTGTGCTGCTTTATGGTGGAAAAAACTGAAGGTGGGGACAAAACAAAACCCCACATTATTGTCTGTTCAAAGTTAAGAGTCCACAGCTACAATTTTACTGACTGTAACCAAAACAACGTGATCATTGCACTTAATCTTCACTCAAACAAGTGTGTAAACAGATTAAACATCACTCTTACAACAAGAGCAAAAAATAAACAGTAAGAATTAGTCAGTTATTTAAATTGATAGCTACCTTTCTTACTGATGCATTTTCTGAGCATCATGTGGAGATTAGCCTCTTGCTCCTGCAGAGAGCAGTTTTTATCACTGCTCTCGTCATGTTGCGATCGCATTCCAAAACAAAATCTGCTGCCAGGGTGGAGAGTAGTTGTCGCTCCGGTTTAAAACGTTCACGGTTCTGTGTTCCCCCTCAGAAAACTTGTGTGTGACAACTTTGCACTTAGCTTCAACTCTGTTTCTGATGAAAATAGAAAGTTCTGCCGACATTCTTGCTAACTTGTTAGCGCAGCATGTTGTTATGATCACGTGAGCGCTACATGCTGGATCCAAGCACTGCTGGATAGAAACACTGGAGTGGAGTCAGTGATGCTGGAACGGACTGCTAATATTGGAGTGCTTATATCGGACATTTTTTATGCAGGCTGATGAAATCCGATACTCGTTTTTTGGCTGATATCGGACCGATATCCGATATCAATATCGGATCGGGACACCCCTAATTTTTTACAACTATGGCTGTCTGGAGTAGCAGCTTCTTGAAGCTGTCTATCTTGCTAATATTAAAACCAGCTCTTGGCAGACCATTTTAAGCAAAGTGACATTCAGTAAGAGCATGCGCCGTCCAAATAAACAAACGCCCACAAAGTTCTGACTAACAGCTACTTCCCATCCCTTCTCAACGTGAGATTATCTAGTCTAAAACTGACATGAATGGCGGCAGGTGATGGGCATTCCCTTCAAGGAATGTTAGATCTTTTGTTTATTCTGGCTTTTCTTTCCAACAGTAACAAAATCCTCATCTTTGGGCTCTTTGAAGAGACCGCTCTCGCTGCCTTCTTGTCGTACTGCCCGGGCATGGACATTGCCCTCAGAATGTACCCTCTCAAGTAAGTAAAACATCTGAATTAAAACATTTCTATCTTTCACCTCCATGTATGTTTTATTATTATTATCTATGAATCAGTGCTGAAAGGGTTTTTAAATAGGTTTTTACTACTTGTTTTTCAATAGTGAATTTTAAGTCACATTTATTTTTTTATATTTTTTGTGGCGTTAACTTGTTATAACCTGTTATCCTTAGGAATAAATACTTTCCACTTCAGAGACTTAATTCTGTTCTATTGAAAAGAAAAAAATTGTATAGGTCTTCTGGACGGGTTCTTCTCTAATGAAACGTTTCGTCTCTCCTCCAAAGAGACTTCTTCAGTCTGAGAGTTTCAGGCAAAATTCAGGCTTTTAAGTCCTGCCTCCATGTGACTGATACTCACATCACATGGCTATCGTTGACACCTAATTAACACCTATTGTTAACAGGGGTGGAGTGATACTGGCAATAGCCGCGCTGTAGGAGGGGGACAACTGAAAACAGAGGCCTCCACCTCTGTTTAATGATGAAAGACCATCCATTAAACAGAGGTGGAGGCCTCCGTTTTCAGCGGTCCCCCTTCTACAGTGCTGCTATTGCCAGTATCACTCCACCCCTGTTAACAATAGGTGTTAATTAGGTGTCAACGATAGCCATGTGATGTGAGTATCAGTCACATGGAGGCAGGACTTAAAAGCCTGAATTTTGCCTGAAACTCTCAGACTGAAGAAGTCTCTTGGAGAAGAGACGAAACGTTTCATTAAAGAAGAACCCGTCCAGAGGACCTATACAATTTTTTTCTTTTTGAGTTTTTACCTGGATTACTGAGATGCATCAGGACTGTTCTATTGAAATTCTTTAGTAAACAAAAAAAAAACCAAAAATATGGGAGACAGCAAAGACACACTGGGCTCATTAAGTCAAGAGTTCCACTCATTATTTTTCCTCGCTACCCTCTCATCTGTTCTGCTTTACTCTCACACTCTCGTCTGTCTCTGTGGCTGTTAGGGGATGTTCAAGCAATTTTGTGTTCTCAGTCCCTATTTCTGTCAAGTCATGTTTTTTTTTTCTGTTTTCACCTTTGGTTTCTTTACAGCTGTGTAGCTCATTTTGAATTTTCTTGCAACTCCACAAATAATCATATAACTACAAATCTGGAAAAACGAAAACATAATACACAGTGGTTTGGAAATCTCATAAATCCATGTGAAACATAACAAACTCTGAAACTAAGACAGGGTACAAAGAAGAAAAAATTGGAGGATCATTTTGCAGCTACTGCTAGTTGGGTCATACAGCTACAGTAAGAACTTACAGGGTCTCCCTCAGAGATCTTATTAAGCCGGGGAGGTGGCTAGGTCCAGGCCACGATCTCCACACGCCATCTTGATGTAACAGAACTTTCATTGGTGGGTCGGGGTGGAGGGATTTGAAGGGGCGGGCGGTTCCATTGGGACACTTAGGGGCAATTAAACCATTGCGGACCACCAGGCCTACATTGGAGGAAATGCTGGTATAATTTTTTTAGAGACTGAATATCTCAAAACTAATTTATTCATTTCATTTCATGAACAAATAAAATAACAATAAAAATAAAATACAAAAAAAAATAAAAAATAACCTAATAAAATGAAATGAAAGGCAGCAGAAAGAAAAAAACAATCTTATAATATCTGTGCCTGTCCTCCATCTAATAAGTTTATCAATAATAATCTTTACGCAGCGAAACAAAATAAAAAAGTAAGATTAAAAGAAACCATCACATTTTTCTTGAACTAATAATCCACTCTAGGCAGGTCCTTTTTACATGATTTGTTCGAAAAGGAGCAGGTAAAAAATACAAGATCTTTTGATTTCCTGCCCTTCTCATACTCCATGTCAAATTGAAATATATAGTTTTTTACCCATCATACTCATAACATTTAAATGTTATGAGTATGATGGGCAAAAAACTATGTATTTAAATAGTTAAATAGTTAAACAGTTGAAAATATTCATTAATAAAAAAAACTGTAGATGGCTTTGAATATCCCATAATCTACAGTTCATCATGTCGTCAAAAGATTTCAAGAATTTGGATGAATCTCTGCCCAAAGGCGAGGCTAAAAGATACTGGATGCCTGAGATATTTCCTCTCTTCTAGTATGGGGGTGCATTAGTGCCTTGATAAGTAAATACATGTTTTAGAACAGCATATGCTCCCATCTACCAAAGAAGCCCCTGCTGAACAACTAGAAGCCTACACAAGATGAGAGAGAGACATTTCACTCAAAAAACACCAACAACTGGTCTCCTGAGTTCTTAGATGTTTAAAAGTAGAGTAACAGTAATAGTAATAAAAATGGCTCCGGCACAACTTTTTTAAAGATGTGTTGTTGCCGTCAAATTCAAAATATTTTTAATAAACAGTGAAAAGGTCTTTATATCAGAATTTGCTGTATTTACTATGTTCCATTGCGAATTCCCTACCGTTACCTATACGAATCCCCGCCTCGCCGCCACTGAAAGTTCCCTTCATTCCAGACAGGGAGCGGAGATCGCATTATCTACGTAGCACTCCGCTACCGCTAAACCCCACCCCACCCCCACCTTAGCTGCCCTCCATGACCGCTAACATCACCCCTCCCCTCCATGTTTAACAAGCGCCTCGCCAAGGCTAGTAATGTCGGAGAAAGGGTTTATGAGATTACCAAACCTTTGCATTCTGATTTTATTTCCATTTTACACAACATCTCTATTTTTTTAGAGTTAAGGTAATAAATTTTGTATCCCATCTAATTTTTTAAAACTTATTTTTTAATGAAATACTGCATATTAGCAGGAGAGAACTCAGTACATCTACAGTTCAGAATGCTCCAGTTTTTCTGCTTCAATTTGTTTTTTTGATTTCGTTATGTTTGGTTCTCAAAAGTTGTATATTCACCACACCAAAAAAATTATAATAATAATTAAAGGCTTTCTTTAGAGAAACTTCAACGTGCCATAGTGGCAAAAAAAAAACTCTGCTCTGGTGTTGAACTCATCCTTTATAACAGCCTGAAACGTGCTTGTTCCAATTTTAACTTTATCTCTGTCTTTCCAACACCTCAGGCCATCTTGGTGGTTCTGTGCCTTCCCTTACTCCCTCCTCATCTTTGTTTATGATGAAGTCAGAAGGTACATCCTCAGACGCAACCCAGATGGTAAGTGTCTTCTGACCGCTTATAACCTTTTGGTGCAGAGAGAGAGAGAAATAATCACATTTGTTTTTTAGAGAAATAATGTAACATTTGATCAAAAACATTAGCAAAGAGTACTCTGAGGGTAATAAATAACAACAACAGTACTGTTCTGGCCTTTCTGATGGTCTAAATCAAATTTTAGACAGTGTGGCTTGATTTAGACAGAAAATGTGCAGCATAAAAAAGATTGATGGGTTTTTTACGCACATATAGCTTCTATTGTTGTTCCTCTTGCCTCACACAAACCAGTGAACCAGTGGAGTCTAACCTCGACCTTGCTCTCGTGAGCTCCTTGTCCAAGCTGGAGCTACATGCAGAGCGTGCTGTGATGCAGCCATGTTTTCTTTTTTTATCCACAGCACCTGAGCCTCACAGCACAGATCAGTGAACACACCCATCCTGGGTGTTGGCAGAATACAGGAAAAAAAAATCATGTTCGACTGAATTGTTTTTCAATGGCTTCTTATTGATGGTGAAATATTTCTTTTTACTAAGGCAGCCAGTTACTAAAATAAAGGGCCTTTGTTCAAAAAAAAAAAAAGAACCAGAGTCATCTACAAATAATTACATGCCTCTAAAATATAAAATATGTCAAATATGGTCTTAAAGTGTAACTTACCCCCCTGTGAAAAGATAACTCCGCCCCAAGGCGAAATTTGAAAAATGCATCAAAGTGGGT